AATCCGTTTCAAGCTAAATGAAGAGTTTGGTGAGGGTAAAATAGGAAGGATCTTGGAAACTGTCAAAACTTACTTCTCCATCATTCCAAAGCATCCTATCTCACTATTATTAACTTTTAATTTTCAATCCGTTTCAAGCTAAATGAAGAGTTTGGTGAGGGTAAAATAGGAAGGATCTTGGAAACTGTCAAAACTTACTTCTCCATCATTCCAAAGCATCCTATCGATGTGACCTTCTTGACTAAGTGAATTAGTTTCGAAGACAAAAATTGTTGGAGGAAGAATCAACATTTTGAATAATCTAGTCTCTGCATTCTATGGACTCATTGTACGACCTTAGATCTTTATCTATTAAATGAGGTGGGTGAAATATTTTATTCTTTGCAGTATGCCGAGGTTGAAGGTGAAACTTCCAATCCATTCAATACGGGAATACAAACTTCAGTATTGTTTAATGCTGGAGGACAACCTTCATGATTTAAATTGGAATTTGAGGAGATGGAGAGACGGGTTGAGTATTAAAAAATAATAATCACACAATCGTCATCTACTATTCAGATTTTAAAAAAGCGATTTTGTTAGTGGTACACTCAACATGAATCTTTATTTGCATTATCTGTATAGTTCAAATTGGATTAACATTTAAAATTAATGATCGAGGATAGTCTTTTAGATACCTTGTTTCACTAAGTTAAACTGATCTTGGCCACTCTGATGTTCTTTGGTGGCTATTCAAAAAATCTCCTGAGAACATAAACTATGTAACGCTCCAAAATTTTAACATAAACTATAACATTCAAATACGTACAATACAAAAAAATAGGAGTTTCGATGAAAATATTTGAAGCACGAAAATATTTTTCAACTCTGCTTGACAATATTTTCGAAACTGACCCGTCGCAGTCTACTAAAACGAACATAACTTTTTCTCTAGGTAATATTTTAAGGAAATTCAAAAGAACACTATTAGAAGACTCGTAAATCTTTCAAACCATGCTAATTTTACTCTAAAAAATGCAGCATAACCCAAGTTATACAATTTTTAAATAGGAGGACAGAATCTGAAAATTCAATTCAGCAATATTAAACTTCGTGCATAGTCTATCCAACACTTTTAAATTATAGTTTACATGCAATTGTATATAAAAACTGGATAGAATAGACAATTAAACATATTAAAAGTGTCATCTAAGTGTTCATAAGATATTTATATTAATTGGAAATTTACAAGAAAGTTAAAGAGCATTTCAAATCCTCGAGTTTTTGCCACTATGTCAAACCACTGCCATATGTTTAAAAAAATATATGTTTTCTAGAAATGCAAATTTTGGTTATTTGTGTCACCGCAATTGCAAAGGGAAGCGGTGGTCGGACAGTCTACTTACTCTTAGGTTTAATAACCCTTTCAAGTAACAAAAATTATTTCATCATCTCTTATTTGAACCAACAAATGGTGCTTTCATTCTCTCATGAGCAATACAATAACACGTTTAATGCAAATCGAAAACGAATAATTTTTATTTCACTTACAAAGGGCCAAAAACACCCTACCTTAAATGCTTGAAGTTTGAATACCCTTTTATGTTCAATTTGTAATAAAATGCTATGTACTCTTAGCCTTTCATAAAATTTTCAGATTCAAAGTGCATTTGGTCTATGGAAAAATGACAAAATAAATTTATGTATAGGTATAAAAGTTTAAGGGGGAAAACATGGCTTTTGGGAGTTGTAAGAGGTTATAGTTTTAAATTGCAAATGGGTGGCGGTTGGTAATTAATTAAATGGGGTTTATTAAGGATAATGTGAGTGGGGAGGTTATTGCAAGTGGATGGTATGTGGTGCCATAGTGGAGGAAAATCGTGAATGAGAAGAATTCAAAATAGTGGGATTGAATTTGAGATTATTTGGTACAATATAATTGGTGTATTTAATTTTTAAAATTTAAGACCTCAACATAGGCAACAATTAATAATAAGTGCGTCGGCACAAATAACGTAATCAAATCAATATAAAAATTTGTCATTTAAAAGAAATTCGATACCTTACAATTTTTTTTTTTAAAAAAAAACAAGTGCGCGAAACTTTATTATCGTGACCAAAAACTTTAATTTGAACTTTCAGGAAGTGTCGTAGCAACGAAATAATATAATCTAAACTATTTTTCGATTTATAAAAGAAAATTTATTTTAAAACAAAACACACGATGTACTTAATGCATTATAATACACTAAAATGTGCTTTCATTTATAGGAAGTGTCTTCGCTACAAACTATGACTAGTTAAATGATGGGTTAATGCATTATAATACTCTAAAATGTGATAGGGACTACTACTATGATGCGCCGGCACTCCTAATAGTGCTGTGCGTATGCATCTGACATGCATCATGTCGTGTCATCATCGACACTTGACGGACATATACTATATATTTTTCCTTACCGAACAATGAAATATCTATTTTTTGAAAAAAAAAAAAAATATTCGGATCTAAAAATGTAAAAATAGGAGAAAAAAATGCATGAAATGAAATATAAGAAGACATTCTGAATCACCATTACATGTTCAACCTTCTGATGTTAAAGAGAATGACAACATAACATATTTCAACTGTTCTAAGAATCAATAATTTAGAGGAGACTGGTTGATTGGTTCATTCTGTTTCTTATTCACCTGAGCTGTAAGCTTATAAAAATTGATTCTATTTTCCAGCATGCACATTAAGGATGTATGTTTGTGGACATTTCAACTAATAGTGAGATCTAAAACAAAATCCAATATCTCATGTACTTTCTACTTACCTACAGACTGAGACTCTGTTTGAACCACATTATATTTTTCATTCTAATTCTTCTACTCATTTTCAACCACACATTCTTCAATAAAATAATATTTTTATCACATCAATAGCTTTTCTTATTTTTTAACCACATACTTTCCATCCCATCAATCAAAAAAATGCATTCTCTCCACAAAAATGTCTACCAAACAGAGGCGAAGTATGAAACCATTGATCCATCTTTGATGTGGAACCAATGGATAAATAAGTGGTGAATGTAAGCCACTTTCTATTTTTGAAACTCTTGGATGTTGTTCTATTTCTTGTTCCAAAAAAGGAAGTCATAGCCATGTTTTCATGTGTCGAAATAATCTCGAGGTGCATTATATGCTGTGAAGCAAACATCCTTCAATTATGATAAGACTTCAATTATGATATCAAAGATTTAGACGTTAAATACAATATTCCTAGATGTGAATGTACAAATTTAATTATTGTGAAAAAAGTGACGAGATTAATTTTGATTTTGAAAATTGATGAACTAATTTCATACCAACTAATATTGCATTTTGAAATAAAGTAAAAAGTTAACAAAAGTGGGGAAAAATGAAGTATTTCATAGTCACTGTTTTCCCAAGTTATCAACCTTCTGAGTTGGTATTTCATAACAATCTTTTGGTTTCATCTACAATTTTTGACTCGGAAATAATCAGAAAGGTGAAGCTTGTTCGTAACACAGAACTATTGTATGTTATTATCAACCTTCTGAGTTGGTATTTCATAACAATCTATTGTACGTTACAATCGTAGTAGATAAGTTTATAGAGAGATTAGAGTACGAATTACCTACAAGATTTTAGTACAGGGATGAGTTTTCATGACTTGGGCAGATATTTTCAATCGTACTGTTTATTATTACCATTATTATGCACTAGTTTTTGGTATTATGAGAATTATTGTTGAAAATCTCGTCCTTCGTTTCATTATGCTTCTTCTGTTATGATTTCAAATTGTAGAATTTTATTTTATTTTTGTCCTAATTATAGACATGAGAATTAAGAAGTTCTGAAACACTGAATCACGAATGAAGGATGGACACAGTTTATTAGGGGGTTTATTCAATTGGAATTTCTGAAGACTTTGATGGACTTTTTTTAAGTGATGACTTTTGTAAATTTCATGAATTTTTTAAAGATTTGTATTGAATTAGTAGAAGTCTTTTGACAACTTATAAACTTTCATTTTAAAACTTTTAAAAACTGTTGTAGAATTCAAAAGATTTTTGAAGATTTTCATTTGAGATAGACTTTACGTAGATCTAGTGCAATATTGTAAAATTATCACATACGAGGTGATGGTTCTCACAATTCCCATATCCTTCTTTTTTCCCCCCTCCTTCCTTTTCCCCCATTAAAATAAAAAAAAATATATTTTAAAAAGAATAAACATTTAAGACCTTAATTAAATAAGTAATTATTATTACACTTATAAAAAATAAATTCAATATTCAATACTATTAATATAATATACCTTTAGGCTTTAGAGAATAGATAAAAATATATATATATTTATATTTAATCATAAATTATCTATATAAAATTTTATAAATTAATTAAAAATAGATATTTTTCAGAAAAAATAAATGAAAAAAAAGTTATAAAATACAATAATTTTTTTCATAGAAAATAAGAGAGAGAAAAATAGAAACTAATGTTTGTAGAAGTGAAGAGGAAAGAGAAATATTAAAAAATATACATATTATTTTTATTGTTATTATTATTTTTTGTGAAAGCCTCCCAAAATCTTGTGATTGATGTGAGACAAATTTTGAGATTTTATTTGAGTATTTTATGCTTAAAAGTTAGTAGCATGGAAACTTTTATAAAAGTCTCTAAAAGTCGTAAAAAATTGAATACCCAAAAACTTATAGAGACTTCTAAAAAGTTTTAATTGAATACACCGTGACTTTTAGAGACTTTTTAAAAGTTTATAAAAGTTTCAATTAAATACACAAATACTTTTAGAAAGTCTCTAAAAGTCTACATTAAATACCCCTAAACTTTTTAAATCCCAAAAAGTCATTAAAAGTCTCGATTGAATACACCCCCCTTAGAGACTAAGAGTACCACAGACTTTAAAAGTTACGGACCTAATACCACAAACTTTAAAAGTTACGGACCTAAGGGAGCCCTGAGAACACATTTCTATAGGAGTATTAGGCAAACTATTGTGGTGTGTATATTTCTTTAAGAATCTGGGGCAAGTTCAAAACAATCTCCGCATATGCTGCAGGAGAGAGAACAAAAAAGTGATATTAGTATCTGTGGTGGAAATCAGTAATATGAATGAACAATTGGGTTACCATTATCCGACCTTCAGGTAAACTCATTGTTCGTAATGCATCCTCTGCATATGACAAACGAGTAGGAATAGGTTGACCTCCTATTACTTCGTTTTCCTTCCTGTTTGTTGTTACAGCACTGATCGATTTCTTTGATTGATGCATCGGCCATGCAAGGACACTGACCTCTGTAGGAACTATGGACAGAAGATCTGCGTACTTGAGACTCAATGTAACCTTGCTGCAAGATAGAAAAATAAAAGCACACGTGAAACTGGCGCATGTAAATGTAAAAGCATGTAGACACCTAGATCGAATTTAAATCAGAAGGTCATAGTAATTTAACAAATAATTTGTGTGAATCCATGCATAAATGGACCAGAAGAAAATGTCATATCCACACATACAATGCTACAATATGGTTAATGAACATTATGCAATAATATTAGGATGGTAAAGTTACATGAAAATACCATAACAAGAGAGAGAAAGAGGAGGAGCATCAAATCATCTACACTACTTAACAAATCAAAGCCAGAATTATCCAGAGCCTCGTAGAAATTGACTACTATTTGTAGGATGTGCCCGTTATTGTGAAAGACAAAAACAGATGCTTAAAAGAGTTGCAAAATAACTACCATAATCATTTAAAAGGTTGAGCAAGGAAATGTTGGGTGTTATTAGACTCGCCCAGTATTCACCATCCAGTCACACTAGCTATCACTCATTCAAAAGGTTTTGTAATAAAAAACCAAACCAGAATGGTTCTTAAACTAGAAATAACAAGAAAGCCAAAATAGTAGTTCAGCCTTTTCAATTTGCCATGTGTTGTGCCTCGATAAACATGCAAAAAATGAGTAAGAGTCGAGTCATTTCAAACTCGGCAACTGTTATATAAAGACCAAGCTTGAAGGTGAGAAAAGAAAAACAACAAAACTATGAAAACAATTGTTGGTTAAGAATCACTGAGATAGACTAGGAAAAATTATATGAAGAGCAGGATTACACCTACCAATCAAAATCATCAAGCACAAATTCAACCATATGATACGGAAGACTGTTATAAAGTTCTCCAACTTGATTTCCATAAAGTTCCTTTATAAGACGAACCTGGAGAAGAACAAGACAAGCCGTAGAGATCATGTTAAATGATCAGGATATTCATTTCAAAAAGATACAACAAAAAAGAAACTACAATTAGAGGAACACATAAAAGATTTCATTTTATGGAAACCTACTTCAGAGCAAATGAATTTCAATCATCCTGATGCAAAGAAACTAAACACTGAAATAGAATACGTTCTCTTATATCATGCAGTCTCTCTTGCGTTTTCATTCACAATTCTATTTGACAATTCATTAGAGCAGATTTCAGCCAACAGCAGCTGCCTAAAGCTGCAGGCAATTTCAGACCTGAAGGCATACTGCTGAAGCCATGGCCATAGCCATAGCCATGGCCATAGCCATAGCCACAGCCAAAGGCAGCCGAGATAAAATAAAACACAGTGTGCATCCACGCTGACTAATCTACCTAAAGAAGAAGGGATATTGGTTCCAAGAGCTTCAAGAACATTCTATCTGTAAACATCTACGATATTTGTACAAAAGTATCTATAGAGCCTCTCTTAACCTTCATTTGAATTTATCACCCATGTCCACTTGCGGAGGTTATAACTTACAACTATAAATACGGCTAAAGAGCTCATTTGCAATAATCAAGTTGTAGAGAGAGCAATAAAAGTTTTCATTTTTTCAAACTCTTCGTTAATCTTTCTTGTGTGATTTCCTAAGTTTTTATTGTTTCTTTCTAGTTTAAAGTAATAATACACTACCTGTGCATTATTCTTTGATTAATAAAATACTTGATTACCTTTCAAAAAAAAAAAGTGATTTCCTAAGTTTTGTATTTAGCTCCACACTCGTTGCAATATTTTTGAGCAGTTGAGAAGCTAGCAGATTAGTAGTGGCTATATTCAAGAATCACTCGCTGCCAACCAAGCTTTGGTCTCACACGACTTACTGCTTCACTACACCAAGAGGACGGATTTGAGAGAACTAAGGGTCCGTTTGATAGGCAAAGATGGAAAAGAATTCAAATTCCATGTTAGTTGGAAAATAAAAACCCGCCAAACCCATAGGAATTCGTTTTCCATGAAAACAAAGAAAATGCAGCTTGAAGTGGTTGTACCTTAGAATTCAGTTTTCATTTCCACGTTGCAATCAAACGGTCAAAGTGAAATTCGTTTTTCTCGAATTGGACATTTTCCATGGGAATTGTAACAATCAAACGGGGCCTAAGTCTCTCATGGATCCTTGAAATAGTCAAGTTCGTGACAAAATCCTTCTCTTCATATATTCTATTCTCAGAAGTTAGAAGGTTAAAGCAATTGTCACTTTGATAATGGTTGCCTTGTGCGAGACAGGGATGCCATGATTTTTGGCCAGATTGGTTTATGATGACTTAAACCTAGTAACAAAATATTATCTTTAACTTGTCTACCATTCTTAAATAGGCCAAATAT